ACATTTGTGTGCTAAGGGACAGCAGCGAGCTATGCATGTGGTTAGCAAGGGAAGAACCCACTTCTTGCTCAATGCATTGTACCCACAGGGAAAGCAGTACCAACAGATCCCACCCAAAATAGGTCTGAGCAGCTTCCACACCTAACAGTCAGCAGGTTCCAGCAGGAAGAGGAAAGGAAAAAAAAATCTGTGCCACCAGCACTACTGACAACTTGGTGATTTGGGCAGCTGAATTCTCCCTATTACCAGGCACTGCTCAAACTGGGAGTGAAAGAAAGGCTGAGCAGGAAAGTACAATCACAGCACAGGATCACAGGGGCTGGAGAGTGGGGGGCTGGGAGCTGGCCATACAGGGACTGTGGTAGAAGTCTTGCACAGGGAGGTTCAAGATGGCAGAATAGGGTAAGGACACATTTAAACAGACGGAGAAAGATTAGCCAGTGTGAAGCAGAGAGGGCACATTCCAGGAAATAGGAGAAGACAGAACAACAGTAGAGGGGTACCTGGAGACTGACAGACACGGGAAAGCAGCAGACACACAGCAATATGGTGTTGTAGTGACTGATAGCCTAGTAACGATGCAGCAATGTGGCATCCTACAGGTTTCACCCAAGACAGCTCATACTGATCCCTTGATGTCTGCTCAGCCAGAGCGCCACGCATCCCGGACTCTGCCACACCCAACAGACACGGGCACATTTACAGGGTACAAAAATGGAAGAAGCAGTGTGGCTTCCCTTTTCAGAACCTTGGAGCTGCAGAGACCCCAGACTTGACTCACAGTCAGTGAGAGATAGTAGAATTGGTAGAATTCTCTCTCAGTTAAAGCCACCTGAGGCACAGCACCACAGAAACTCCTTATTTTGTTCTTGGAAGATGGCCATGTCAGGGTGTTGTCCTCCATCTGTGCTGTCCCACAGAGTCTCTTTTCTATTCTGTGATTTCTCTACTGAAAATTCATATGGGTTCATCATCTGGGAACATGGTCCTGCTCTTGTCTTTCTGTTATCCCCCTGCAGGTTGGTTTACCCATCTTGGATTCATTTTTTTTTTATGTTAAGTAGCAGTTTATTTGAGATGCAATTCACACATCATAAGATTCATATATTTAAAGCATACATCTGAGAGTTTGCTGCTATACTCGCAGAGTTGTGTGACAACCACCTTTCATTCTAGAACATCTGAATTACTCACTTTAACAGCTTTACCCAGCAGCAGTGATGGCTTTTCCTCCTGGACACCTCCCCTTAGGTAACTACTAACCTAATGGAATTACTGTATGTGAGGTCTTTCAGGGATTAATCCTGCAGTTCACGTATACAAGCTGCATCTCAATTGCAGTATATATGAACATATCACTCTTTTTTACTTTACTGCCCAAAACACTTTTTTGAAAAAAAATTTGAATAGTTTTAGATTCAGGAATGTTGCTAAGACAGTATTTTTACCGCTTAGCCAGCTTCCCCCAATGTTAATATCTTACATAACCATGCTACATGACAAAAATTGAAAATATTTTTAACTAAATCACAGGAATTATTGGGATTTCATACTTCTAAGATTTATTTTATCTTACTTGAGTTACAGAGAAAGAGAGAGGCAGACACAGAGAGATCTTCCATCTACTGGTTCACTACCCAAAATGCAGAAATGGCCAGAGCTAAGCTGGTCCAAAGCCGGGAAACAGGAGCTTCTTTTCTTATTTTTAAGATTTATTTATTTTTATTGGAAGGTCAGATATACAGAGAAGAGGAGGAGAGACAGAGAGGAAGATCTTCCATCTGATGATTCACTCCACAAGTGACTGCAATAGCCAGAGCTGCACCAATCTGAAAGCAGGAACCAGGAGCTTCTTCTGGGTCTCCCATGTGGGGTCCTAAGGCTTTGGGCCATCCTTGACTGCTTTCCCAGGCCACAAGCAGGGAACTGGATGAGAAGTGGGGCTGCTGGGATTAGAACCCCTGCCCATATGAGATCCTGGCACATGCAAGGCGAGGACTTTAGCTGCTACGCTATCACTCTGGGCTGAACCAGGAGCTTCTTGCAGGTCTCCCACGTGGATTCAGGAATCAAAGCCTTGGGCTATCCCATGCTGTTTCCTAGGCCATTATCAGGAAACTGCATGAGAACTGGGGCAGCTAGCACTCCAATCAGCCCCCATATGAAATGTCATTGCCACAGGCAGAGGGTTAGCATGTTACACCACTGCACTGGTCCAGAATTTATTTATTTATTTTTTAAAAAGATTTATTTATTTATTGGAAAGTCAGATATACAGAGAGGAGGAGAGACGGAGAAGAAGATCCCCCTCCGATGATTCATTCCCCAAGAGAGCCGCAACGGCCGATGCTATGCTGATCCAAAGCCAGGATCCAGGAACTTCTTCCTGGTATCCCACGTGACTGCAGGGTCTCAAAGCTTTGGGCCGTCCTCAACTGCTTTCCCTGGCCACAAGCAGGGAGCTGGATGGGAAGTGGAGCTTCCAGGATTAGAACCAGTGCCCATATGGGATCCCAGCGTGTTCAAGGCAAGGACTTTAGCTGCTAGGCCACGCCGCTGGGCCCTATTTATTTCTTTTTAAATAAAAGATCTTTTTGTTCTGCTTCAGTATGTAGCCCAGGATATCGCATTGTATCTAGCTATTGTGCCCCCTTAGAAGTTCCTCTGTTTTATAATCTTTCTTGTTTTTTTCCTCCCTATATGACCTTAACATTCTGAAAGAAAGACCAGTTTTTTCAGATATTAAATAGAAATTCTTTCAATTTGGTCTAGTCCCATGGTTTTTATTCATAGTACCTCCAGAGTTCCCTATTTTATTATTATAACAGTATCATGGAGAGGGTGGGGAAATTCAAACTGTCCATATTATGCAGGACAGTTAACACAATGGGACCCTATCGAAACAATAAGGACATTCTACATAGGACTGGACAAAAACAATGCTAAAATTCATACAGAAACACAAATCCCATTTAGCCAAAGACATCTTAAATAATAAAAGCACTGCCTACGTTTCAAGACATTCTACAGGGATGTTATAAACAAAACAGCCATATGCAGGCACAAACACAAACATACAACAACTGGAAAAAATTAGAGACTCCGGAAATCAACCCATATAACTTAAATCAATTGATTTTCGACAGCTGAATTGGGTTTCTACTTGTAGAAGTTGAAACAAGGCCACTTGTTACACACTGTACAAAAGTCAACTTACAACGCATCAAGACCTAAATTTAATAGTAAGACCATCACATTAAAAGAGGACAATGTAGGAGGAATGAAACTGCACAACTCAGGCTTGGTGGATAAGACCCGAGAACCACAGACAATAAAAGAAAAAAATATATATTACTGTGATTTCACAGGAAACAACAAGGTTGAAAGGTAACTGACAGAATGGGAGAACACAGCTGCCTACAGTGCCTCCAACAAATGATTGATATCCAGAATATATAAGGAACTCAAGAAACTCAGCTACAACAAACCATACAATCCAGTTAAGAAATGGGCTAGGTATGAGGAGGCATTTCTCGAAGCTGAAATACAAATGGCCAAAACAAACGAAAAATGTTCAGGGCTACTAGAAATCAAAGAGCCGCAAACAAAAACCACAATGAAGCATCACCTCACCCCTGACTAGAACGTTATGATCCAAAAATTGAAAAATAGTGAAAGTTGGCAAGAGTATGCAGAAAGGCAGTTATGTAATACACAGTTGGAGGGAATGCAAACCAGTACAGTCATTATGGAAAACACTATGGAGATCCTCAGAAAATTAAAACTACATCTTCCACATAACCCTGGCTATCCCATTCCCAGGAATAGATCTAGAGCAAATGAAATCATCATGTGAAATAAATGGTTGCATTCCGACGTTTATACCAACTCAATCAATAACAGAGCAGAGATCCATGAACCTAAATATCTATCAACTGACTGGATAAAGAAAATGTGGTACATATGACCAGAGCAATAGTAGTCAGCCCAGAAAGAATAATGAAAGGCTGTATTTTGCAACCAAAAGGATGGAAGCAGAAGTCATTAAACTAACTGAAATAAGCCAGACCCATAAAGACAAATCCATGTTTTCTCTTATTCATGATAATTAACCAAAAAATACAAAAACTGTGTGGTGTCATTATTAGGAACGATTAGGAACGATAGTGATAAATATCGTGTCATTAAATCAAACCATGTAAACAAAAATAAGTGCTTCTTCACATAAACACACACACACACACACACACACACACACACACACACACCTAAAAATGAAAGGAAATGGAAGGGGTCTGGGGCTTCCCTTTCATTACTTTTCCTCCCAAGATCTCCTTGCAGTTCTTCCGGTTTCTGGGAATGGAAAGCTTCCTCCATGAACTACGTTCCCCAAGCCTAGGACCCGCCTCTGCCATGTTCTCTCCGCTCTACCTATCTTATGTGGCATAGGAAGGTCACGTGCTCCTTCGATCCCTTGGACGAGATGGTGGCATTCCGAAGGAGATAAGGAAAAGTGCCAGTCGGCCATGCCCTCCCATAAGCAGCATCCATCGTGGGATTTGTCTCAAGCGCCTGAGCACTGCATCTGGTGGACTGACCCTTGGTGGCAGAGAGCCCCTGTGCCGAAGAGACCCAGAAACTAGCCTGGCCCACTGCCTGGATCTTCCAGGTTGGCCCAATCTGTGAGCACCTACAGCGATGGAGAGCAGCCCAACGAAAAGCACGGACGATGGCTGTGACGTAGTGTCTCAGAAATTCAGTGGTCTGGCTTAGTTTTGAATTCCATAGGATCTGTTTTCAGTGGGGTTTACATTTTTTTGCATCTGAGGCACTTCAAGTTATATATATATGGAAAGTTATATATATATATGGAAATCATATATATATATATATATATATATGGAAATCAATTTACTTTGAAGAGTAATCAGAAATGTACTTTGGTTCAGTTGGTGGGGCCAGAACAGGAAGGAATCTTAGTTGCTATGTTCTGTAGAACTGAATGAATTGAGTTGCTAGGCAGCTAAACCTGCAACTTAACCAAATGAGAGACAAATGTAACATGAAATTTCCATCAGAAGTCTCAAGTAAAATCTTTTTGTTCAGAGACTGGAGATTACATGAGACCTATGAATGTAACTAGAAAGATCATTGGAACCATCAATTCATCCGCTGGTAAGTCATTCAAGAGCTTACCTTTCTGAAGCAGAAAAGCATGGTTGGCAATTAATGCAATAATGAAGTTGCCACTTGGGTCGCCTGAAATCCAAATGAAAGTGCCATAGAATTCACTCTCAACGGTCTAACATTATTAATAACGAACTCCATCACAGTAAAAATTATAATCGATATCAAGGCAGACATGGAAACAAAGCACATCACAATTTTATTCACAATTTAGAGAAGCTGTCCACAAAAATTTTATCTGATGAGTCTTCTTTATTCTGATGGACTTGGAATTTTATGAAAAGTACGTCTGACCTTTATTTTACTTAATTAATCAGGCAATCAAGGCATCTTTGTAACATTAACGATTAGGATAAAGAAGCCAGAAAAGTGTTCCCTATGCATTGATCTGCAACAAGAACAACAAAAGAATGTGGTAATTATTTGATTCAATAACTTGCATAAACTGCAACTGTCAAAATTTCAACAGTTACAATTTCCAAAAACACAAAGACAATGTCACTTTTCAAATGAGATTTCAAAGTGTTGATGAGCAAGTGAAAAATCATTAAGTTAAAAATCAATATAGACATCAAGATACAAATTATTAAAAACATTGAGGTGTGTGAACCAAATGTTTTCATGACTTCATCTTGTAAACTGGTTGTCATGATATCTTTTTTTTTTTTGGTGTATTTTCTGATTTTATACGACCCCTAAAAACTCAGACTTATTTTTACAGAAATTTGTATTATAGGAGAGACAGAAATAGGCAAAAGAATTTGTCATGATTTAGGTGAAGATTTTAGTCAAAACCCATTGAATTGAGTATATAATTCAGCTTTGGAAACAAATGACGACATAATGGGAAATCAAAACTTGAGGAAAATGGAAGAATCATTTGAATCTTCTATGAATTTGGTAAATGGGTTTCAATTAAGGATGAAATCCTTGATTACTTACCAAACACGTAAGAGTTAGGATACAAAACAGACCACGGCCATTTGTGAATATCTCAGTTGTAAAGGTAAGAAAAGGTGTCCACCTGCTTGCTGAAAACAGTGGATGCATTGTTAAGGTTAACAGAGAATAAAATAGTGAATCAGATCCAGTGTTTTGCAGCTGGTACAGGACTGATTTGGAAGACTGGAGCAAGAATAAGGAAGAAAGGTAAACAATGGTATAATTATGTTGGCTATCAGCTTAATGGCCATGAAATGGCCTTAATAATAAAGAAATTCCTTGTCTTTAAGGTAGACAGGCATTTTGAGAATGGTGATTTTCCACTCTGCTGCCTTCACATTCACAGAGAAATTTTAGTAAAATTACATAGGACAACAAAGCTCTCCGTAAAGGATAGAAAAGTTCAGAAGACTCTTCAAGGAACAGCAAAGCAATTTTGGAGATACAAGATCAACTTAATATCAAAGTACAAGAAAAATCAAAGAGAAATCAGTTCGGGTACTGAATTTGGCATAGTTCATTTCTGTTTTTTCTCCCATGGGAAGCTGGCCCGGAGCAATGTATTTTAGATCCATCATGGAAGACCACTTTCCTATCGTGTCTGTTTTCAAATACGCTGGTAGTTCCTAGTTTCATTATTAAGGTAATGTCATTATTTTAGTGAGCTATTCATGACTATAATCACAGTAGCTAATTAAAATAGGTATTTTATATGTAAAATTTTGGAGTTTTATTAAGTGTCTGATTTCTCCCTCACATTATTTAGACCTGTCATCTGTATTTGTCAGTTATATAACCTATTGTCTACAGATTATGTGTTTTGTGATTGTTTGGTTCAAGAACATAGCAGGGCCCGGCGCAGTAGCCTTATGGCTAAAGTCCTCACCTTATCCTCACCCGTATTCCATATGGGCACAGGTTCTAATCCCAGCCACCTTGTTTTCCATCCAGCTCCCTGTTTATGACCTAGGAAAGCAGTTGAGGATGCCCAAAACCTTTGGACTCTACACCTACGTGGGAGACCCAGAAGAGGCTCCTGGCTCCTGGCTTCAGAGTAGCTCAGCTCCAGCCATTGCAGCCACTTGGGGACTTAATCAGCAGATGGAAGATCTTCCTCTCTATCTCTCCTCCTCTTTGTATATCTGACTTTTCAGTAAAAATAAATAAATCTTTAAAAAGAAAGAACAAAGCCACAATCAGCTCAGTTGACAAGCTGTTGTACTAGGAATAGGACATGAGTTTTTATATTCAAAAACATGATAAAATCTGTAATGATATTAATGAGATCGTGTATGTATTTGTGACATATTTTCCTATATGCATATGAATGCTGTATATGTATATTTTGAGATCAATATGTGCAAAGGATCATCTCAGAACATGGCATTTATAATCCTATCACTGCCACTTATCTTGATACCTTTGCCCCATTACTACAATATTATTCCACTCAAAGCATTTACCCTTTCTTTTAGGGTTCACTGATTTACTTTTCATTACCAAGGCGTTTTGTTGTTTTAAGTAGTTTCACAATCTTTTCTGGGAAGATCGGTATTAATGATTCAAACTAGGTCTTGGTTATTGATTTTTCTATGTATTATTGACTCAGTTTTGTGTCCAGAAAAGTATTCTAGATTTGCCAATTTGTTGATATACAAATTTTTGCAGAAATTCCTGAAGAGTCTATTTTATTTCTGGGGTGAGTGCTGTGACATATTTTTCATCTCTGATTTTATTGACTTGGGGCTTCTTCCTTTTTTTGCTTAGTTGAACCAATGGTATCAATTTAATTGATTATTCTAAAAAAAAGAGCATTAATTAAACTGATCACTTGTGATTTTTGTTTCAATTTTGCTTATCTCTTCTTAAAATTTTCTGTCCTACTGATTTTGTGTTTGGTTTGTTATGTCCTTGAGTTGCATTAGATTACTTATTTGATTACTTTCCAATTTCTCGATATAGAACCTATATAATATTAGTGCCACTATAATATAATATAATATAATATAATATAATATAATATAATATAATATAATATAATTGCTACATACCTCCTGATTAGCACTACTTTTGATGGATCTGTTACATTTTAAGTTATTGTACTGTCATCTTCATTTGTTTCCAGGAATTTTGTTTTGTTTCTCATTGGATTTCTTCTATGACCTTCTATTCATTCAGGAGCATTATTATTCAGTCCCCATAAGGCTGCATATTTTCTAGAGTTTCTTAAGTTGCTGATTTCCACCTTAATTCCATTATAGTTGTAAGAGTTAAACGGCATCATTTCACTTTTTTATTCTCTTTAGTCTTTTTAGGACTTAGTAGGTCCACATAGTCCACAATGTACATTAGCCCTGTCATTTCTTTGTTTTTTTTTTTTAATCTAGTTGAACTATTGATAAAAATGGGGTGTTGAGTGCCCTGTTATACTGAACCTATATCTCCATCTGCATCTGTTAACATTTATTTAAAATATTAAAACACCCTAGCATTGAATGTTTATACATTTCATACAAACACATCTTCTGTTGAATTGATCCCTTCATAATTACAAGATGTCCTTGTCTATCTCTTTTAACAGCATTTGTATTAAAATCTATTTTGTCTGATATTTGGAAGGCCACTCCTGCTTGTTTTATCAGTTAGCATAGAGCGCTTTTTTCTATCCCTTTAGTTTGATTCTGTGTGTATCTTTGCTGATGAGGTGTGTTTCCTGAAGGCAGCATTTGAATGAGTCTTGCTTTTTTAATCCATTCAGTCAGTATTTTTTTTAGACCAGTTAAATTCAGGTTATTATTGATAAGAAATAACCTGTTTCTGACATTTTCCCATAAATGTTCTTCTTCATTTTTTGTTTCCTTCACAGTTTTTCCAGATTTTTTGCTTTCAGATTTATTCGTAATGACTATCATTATCTGTTTTTATGAGCACCCACATAATGAAGTATCATCTGTAAAGCAGGATGAGGGTTGTCAAATTCTTCCAATTTGTGTGGTTTTTTTTTTCAAAGGTTTTACTTGCTTTCATTTATGACTGACAGTTCTGCATTGTACAGTTCTGGGTTGATAGGAGCTTTTTTTCTTTAAGAACTTGGAATATGTGTTTCTATTTCTATCCTAGCCTTGCAGGGTGTATGACAAAAATCAGCTGTCAGTAAATTGGACAACCTTTAAAGTAATCCAGACCTTCTCTAGTGCACATATTACAATGTTGTTGTTTTTTTTTTGTTTTTGTATTTTACAGTTGAACATTTGACTTCAATGTGTCATGGTAAGTATCTTATCTAGTCACACCTATATGGAGTTCTAAATGCTTCCTATACTTGGAAGCCACTTTGCCAAATTAGGGATTTAAACATTTTTTCACTGAATAGGCATAATAAATGATATTTATGTCCATCTTTCCATTGCTTTTTGAAATGACCTTATATTTGTATATTTTAGTAACACTGTGATGAATTCCTGTGTCCTTCAGTTAAGCTTACTATTTCTCAAATTGTGACCAATTGTTGCATTTTTGTAATTCTGCATTCTGTGTGTCATCAATGTTTAAGAACAACTCCAGTGCAGTTTACTGACTCACATGTAATAGCAGATACTGATTTTTTTTTAAAGCATGCTCCGTTATTTCATTTTCATACTCACTTGCTCATAGTGCTACTCTTGATCCTGTCCTGATTTTTATTTGGTTTTTCAGCTTTGCTTTTCTGATGGATTGGCTACACAAGACGACACACTGTTAAAGGTCAAAGTCAAAGGGAGGAGACAGACTTGTATGTCTTCCTGCCTATTCCACATTCATCTCATACAAAACTCCAAATGGCTGTAAGTGAAGCCCCGGTTCATGTGAGGAACACTCTTCTGATGTTTTGGCTGGGATTATTACTCCTCCTTTCTGGATGGCCTCAGATCGGACACTCTCAACATCACAGTCACGTAGAAGTAGTAATACCCATGAGGGTGACTGGCACTAGGAAAGGTGTGAAGACTCTAGGCTGGCTCTCCTATAGCCTGCACTTTGGGGGACAGAGGCACATAATCCACATGAAGGCCAAAAAGCTGTTAGTATCCAGACATTTCCCAGTGTTCAGTTACACAGACAAGGATGTTCTCCGTGAGGATCTGCCATTTATCAAGGATGACTGCCACTACCAGGGTTACATAGAAGGAGAGCCAGAATCCTTCATTGCTCTTAGCCTCTGTTTTGGGGGCTTTCATGGAATACTACAGATAAATGACACTGTGTATGAAATCAAGCCCAAAAGGTTTTCTAAAACACATGAACATCTGATTCATAGACAATTCTACAGTGAGACAGAATTCCAATCCACAAAATGGCAATCAGCAGAAAAAGAGATAGCAGGGAAACTGGGATTTCAAGAGCGTAACAAACTCCATCTCATGCAAGAGAAGTATGAGGGCTGGTGGCCGCACAGATGGTTTGTGGAGCTTGCGGTGATTATAGACCATCAACGATTCATTTTCCGGAATGGTAATATCACAATGGTGATGCAAGATGTATTAATCACAATGAATGAAGTAAATTCCATTTTTTCTGCAATTGACGTTTCTGTGTTTTTATGTGCAATTGAGATTTGGAATCACAGAAACTTAGTGACAATAGGCAACATTTATGAAACATTGCAAGGGTTTTGCCGGTGGAAGTACACAACCTTTGATGCCCGAGTAAGAAACGATGCTGCACATTTTTTTTCAAGGAATGATTACTTACGTGAGGGTGAATCATATTGGGGGAAAGTATGCCAGAAGAATAGCTGTGGTATTGAAAAGTTTTTTGCAAATGACGAGTTTTATAAATTTGCACTTACCGTGTCACATGAGCTTGGTCATAATTTGAACATGCCCCATGATGTAGGAACATGTACTTGTGGGAAGGAGACGTGCCTAATGTCTGAAGGATCAGAACTCACAGCTACATTTAGTAATTGCAGCATTGCTGCCTTTGTGGAGATTATACAAAAGACTACCTGTTTGCGCAATAGACCAACCCCTCTGAAAGACCTGTGTGGGAATGGTGTGGTTGAGGAAATGGAGCAGTGTGACTGTGGAACCCTCAAGCTGTGTTCACAAGATCCTTGTTGTTTTGCAAACTGTACTCTGAGACCCGGGGCAGCTTGTGGGTCTGGTCTTTGTTGCAAAAACTGCAAGTTCAGGGCAGCAGGTGAATTGTGCCGAGAGAAGGATAATGAGTGTGATCTTCCCGAGTGGTGCACCGGAACTTCACAGGAGTGCCCTGAAGATGTCTATTTGCAAAACGGAGAGACTTGCAGAAGCACTAGCCACTGCTACAACAATAGATGCTTTTCCACCCGTGATGAGCAGTGTCAACAAATTTTTGGTGTGGATGCTAAAAATGCAAATCAATCATGTTACAGAGAGTTGAATACTCGTGGTGACCGGTTCGGTAACTGTGGTAATGACACAAAATCATATTTAGCATGTAAAGAAAAAGATATTATGTGTGGAAGAATCCAGTGTGAGAATGTGAAAAGAATGCCCTTACTGAGAGAACATACTACTATCCATTCTGTGACATTCAACAGCACTACCTGTTGGGGCACTGACTACCACTTCGGGATGGTGATACCTGACGTTGGTGATGTGGAAGATGGCACAGAGTGTGCTGAAGACTCCATATGTTCCCAAAAGAAGTGTATCCCTGTGCAAGTGCTTCAGTATAATTGTTCCCATGCACTGTGCCATAGTCACGGAGTCTGTAACAACAAAGACCACTGCCACTGTGACTCTGAGTGGAAACCACCTACCTGCAAAATAGCAGGCTATGGAGGCAGTATTGATAGCGGCCCACCTCCCATCCCACAAACATCCCAAAAGCCAAATGTGTTGCTTTATATTCTGCTGATTTTACTGATTGTTTTATCATTGCTTTTGCTTGTTCTATGCTGTATATTTTTTCTTCTTGCAATTAGAGACAAGCAAAAAGAAGAGGAAGAGAAAGAAAAAAAGAAAACTGCTGATCTACCTGCAGAAGTTCAAAGTGTGGCAGAGCTACCAGTGGCACCTCCACCACCAACAGTTGATGCAAAACCAGAGGCCAAGAAATCTGTACTCAAGAGAAGGAAGACTGGGAAGACTGCTCGAAGCACAAAAAAGGGAAGAAAGAGCCTTAAAGCCTCAGTTCTGAAACGCAAAAGTACTAAAAAGGCTTCTTTAGCTGCAAGGAAGAAGTAGAATGTTCAGCTTCTTCCTCATGGCGCATCAAATGGTCAAGATTTCCCGAAGATGGGAGAGGGGGAAAAATCACGGTTCCTGAAAATAACCCCAATCTTAATGGAATTTCCTTTATTAGTATTTTGCTCTCCTGGCAGTAGAAAGGCTATTGTAGGTGCCACGAGAAGACTTTAAAACATCCTGAAGATTCACTATATCACACAATAGTCAAAAAAGCTAATAAATGCAGACTACACCCTGGCATATTTCTGATTTTTTATTGATTTAAGACATTTTGGAGACTCTGTTTTCATGGAATCAGACACTTTCCTATCTAAAGGCACTGACAAGGACAGGGTGTGTGGAGCTTCATTTGTTGGCTTGCAGTTGCAAACCTCCTTCCTTTTTATATCATGCTTTGCCACATGAGGAAGGGGAGATAATGAAGCCCCTTTTCTTCTTTGCTAGACAGCTTTGCCTACCTGTAAGTGGAGAGCTGGAGATGCCTAAAGACCTACAGAACTCCCAGGTTGATGGCTCTTTTTCTCAGTGCTGCCTCAGCAGCAGCAGCTTTTGCTCTAATTAACGCCATACAAACATAGTTAGTTACTGGGCAAACATACAGTATGGTATGCCCAGCTACCTGAGGGTTTACAAAACATGGTACATTCAAGAATTCTGGCATGCAGGTCTTTCGGCCCCCATCAAATGCCAGAGGATTCAGCACCAAGTTTGCTGTCCTCTAGCCCCATGCTCAGGGTTTCAAATAGCTTGACCTCTTCCCTTTGATCTGTAGTCCTTCCAGTGATCACTAGAAGTGAAGGTTATCTCAAGAGTGTGAGTTCTTATTTTGTGACTCATCTCTGAGTGCTAGAAGACTCGCCAGAGCACAGTGAAGAACGCCAGGAGTAGTCAGACAGCAAAATAATTTTTCTCGCCAGTGCTCTTTGCCACCATGAGGGATGACCTATGCACCTTCAGAATCCATAGAGATGACAACACTTGTCAGCAATTTCTTCACAACTTGTATTATAAAATACAGTTACAGGATGTGTAAGATGCAAGAAGTCTTAGCAAACCATGTTTCCTCTAGGATGGGGAAAGCTAGGAAATCCCAAATAAGCTTTAGAAATCATATACCCAAAGTTTCAGGGTTGTGGAGCAAATAGGAATAGATAAACTAAACCTTTAGGAATGGAAAACAACGATAAAAGTACCTGAGCCCTCTTTTCCTTTCGAGCACTTGTATCTCATTCTAGCCATGAATGATTTATGCAACTGGCTTGCCATTCTACCTTTCCAACAAGAGAAATGACAAACGATCACTAGTGGGGTCACCTGAGGAACCAGTGATTTTTACATACAATAATTTGTTCAAAACCAGATATTTCTGGCAGCTTGATGCTTCTTATGATACCTGCAAGCTTGCTTCCTGGGGCCAGGGAACTCGAGCTGGGACCTGGCACCTAGTAAGTACGTTGCAGTTGATGAATGACTTCTGGGGGACTTCCACCAACAAGGCCACTGTACTTGTAGATAAGCAAGAGGTCTCCTGAGACCAGAAATATTTGAGGAGAGAAATTGTGGGACCTTCCTAGGCGAGACCAACGCACTTTTCCATTCAGGGATCTGAGCTATGCTAGTTAGCACTGACACCTGCTCACCACCCACTGAAACACACAAAAAGTAGGGACAAAGCTCCTGCCACTGAGTATCAGGACAGGGCATAGGTCATGTTGGACTAGGCCATGACACTTTCCAGCACATGAGAAAGCCAGGTCTGGGGGTATATTCTGTAGGGGATATCTGGACTTACCCCTTTAAGGCCGCAATATCACCTAGCTTGCACAAGAGCTGCGGTTGGTGACAGGCCAAGCTAAGCATGATCATGAAACTTACCAACACTCATGGGTATGGGTGTTGAGACCAGGCCAGGCTGGTCCAGGCTGTAGCAAGTTCAAGTGCACTCAAGAATTGGATGTGGGATGGGGCAGAGTGCAATATCTACCAGCATACACAAAAACTGCGACTGGGGACTTTGGGGGTCAGACTAGGCCAGATAAGGGTCCAACATCTACTGGTAGGCATGAGATTAGAGTCTGGGAGTGGGCCTGATGGGGGAACTTCCCTGATGGGTCTTAGTTCCTGCTGGTGAGCCTGGGAGTCACAGTTGGGTGTTGGTCAGGCCAGGCAGGGCTTGCTCTACTTGTCAGCAGGTGTGTGCTCTGAATCTGCAGGGCAGGGAGGGGCAGGCTAGGTAGGGCCAGGCCTTAGCACTGAAGCCAGGATGAGGTGTGGGACATGCCAGTTTAGGCTACAACATCTATAAGTTTGCATGAAATTCAGGGTTGGGTGCAGACTGAGAAGGGCCAAGCTGCAACAACCAACAGTGAGAGTTGGGACTGGGATGGGCTATGCTAACTTGTGTTGAAGCAACTACTGACTCACATGAGACCTATGACTGGGAACAGACCTGGTCAGGGAGCTAAGGATATGCCTCAGGACAGGCTAGCTTGGGTTGCAACACCAACCAATTCACATCAGGGCTGTAAATAGGGCCTGGACTGGGACTGGGCTAGGCTGCAGCACCTACCAGCATGAGCTGGAAATGTTAGCTGGCAGTGTAGAGCTAGGATACAGCACTTCCTGGTGAATGCTGAGGTGATGTGGCCATGCCAGACTGGGCTACAGCACCCACAAGCTTATGTAAGACCTCTGTGGCAGGAATTTGAGGGACACCTGGCTGGGGGATGGCAGGGCCTCCCCTGCTGGGCCACTTCTCCAGGTGATAAGCATGAGAGCTGGGACTATGGGCACATTAGGCTGAGCAGGGCTACAATACCTGTTGGCCTGCATGTGAATTGGGATAGGAGAAAAACCAGGCTGGGCTAAGCAATCATATTCACAGATACATGCATGAGCCAGGGTAAGTACAGGCTGATTGGGCTTTGCTGCACCATCAACTAGCAGGACCTGGGATAGGAGGCAAATACTGCCAGGGTATACCACAGAACCACCTGGAAGTGCAAGATCTGGTACTGGGAGTGGGCCCATTAGGGAAACTGGAAGAATCTCTGTGATGGGCTACAATTCCCACCGGTAAGCATGAGAACCAGGGCTGAAGGTGGGCCTGACTTAACAGGTGATGGCATTCATTGCGTAAGTGTGAGCTGGATAGTGGTAAACTAGGTTACAGCATCCATTAATGTGTACAAAAACCAAATGGGATGTGGGATGGACTGGACCAGTCTGCTGCACATACTAGCATGCACCAGAGCTGATGCTGGCAGTGGGCCTAGAGGGAATTATTAAGGGTCACATTGACTAGGTTTCAATTCCTTTAGTGTGTGCAAAGGC